ACACACCCACCTATTTTCAGCTAAGATTTTTTTTTTAAACTGGTGAGATAAGGATGGAAGCCACTTAACCTCAAAAGTAACTAAATGTTGTTTCTAGGATGTATGGATGAAAAGAAAAATTATTGTCTGGATTTGGAACATTTCTGATCTTACATTTCAGAGTTAAAAAAATATGGATCTGGTACTTAAAAAATGTCTTTACTTCACTCTGCTAAACATGCAGTTATACTCACAGTAAAGTAGACCTGTTAACTTGTGAACCAACCATGATCTTGTTAAATGTGTTTTATGAATAGCATCATGGTGTTGGAGCCAGTGGCTCATACAATGAGCTTTAGACAGAAGTTATAAATGGCTCACTTTTTTCCTGTCTGTTATTTTACAAAAGTCCATTAAAACTTGGACTACGGTCACATCGCAGGTCTTAATGCTCAATTCTGATTTTTGTGCAAAACAATTGTATTTTTTTTTTTTTGATTGTTTACATTTTATTTTAAATGCAACTGCCATCAGACTCCAGAGTGAACTCTATAACCCTGATGTGACCCGCATGCACAGAAGAAAAACATAACGTCACACGTGTTAAAGGAAGTAAATATGGATGCTACACATGTTATTCTGAAGCAGCTGATCGAATCAGAGCCAAATGAAATACCTGGTATGATTGTTTAGTTCAGAGTTTACATTTGCTTCTTGCTGGCTACTCTAGCGCAGCATTATTTTTTTGGAAACTGACGTGACGTCCAGGAAGTGAAACAAACTCAAATATCAGTTCCATCACAATGTATCATATGTAGCTGTGGATTCTGTCGCCCAGGCCATTAAAAATAAAAACAAGACGAAGCAACTGGACTTATGTTCTGTAGCTGAAGACATGCAGAGTTGCAAGATTTAAAGTGCACGGCGTTGGTATTGATAGTATCAGTGCTTCAATCAATCCACGTACCCCTCCCACCTCATGGACAGAAAAGTTGGATGAAACGCAACATGACCGTTCAGACTGCTGTCACTTTGAAAAAGAATGGATATATATAAAAGGTCAGATTTGAAAAAATCTTTTTTTTCACGTTCACACTTCCAAAAAATAACTTGTGTGGGGGCAAAATTTTTACATTTGGCCGCTTTTGCCTGCAGCGTGAGCGTAACGTTATAATATTCTCATATGTCCAGGTCTAATGAAAATGCTCATCAAACTGTTGTTTACAATGTTTTGTTGCTCTGTTTCTCTACATTGTCAGTGTATTTGCTAAGTTGGGTCATTTATAATGACACTTTTCCAACCTGAAGCCTGTCTTTACAAACATTTATTTTGTTCTTTCTTTTTTCCCTGTAAAAACAGCGTTTGAAAATAAAGTTGCTAGATTAGAATATGGCAATCCCACTACTTCCTGAAAATGTAAATATATTTAAATCCTTACTGACTGCGTTGGTAATGCATGTGTTTTTGTTCAGATGTTTTCTGTATGGCCACATAAAATATTCATTATTTACCTCAGTAATGAGTTACTAAGACATAGCGTCCCCTTTATACACATTCAGTTTGTCACTAGCTGGATGAACAGTCTGAGTATGTGTGGTCATTTTCTTGTAAGAAATAATTTAATTAGTCAAAAGCAATGCCCTCATTCTGGTAAAAGTGTGGTTATTGATTGAAAATTCACTGTGAGATATTGTGCTGAGAAACACAGGAGGCAATTAAAGAGGTGAGGACTTGTTCGGTTTCTAATTAACATATTAATCAGCTTTTTTTCCCCCTTTCTCTTCCAAGCCTGATTTAACGAGCTTCCTTTTTGTAGCTTTGCCACATTAAGTACACCTCCAGAGTGCTTTTTATTCCTGCTTAAAAGGTGCTTTGTTGAGCGTTATCACATAATAAATATCTGTCGAGATGACAGGATTGTGGTAACATTTACCCTCTCCATAACTCGTTTCACTTTTCCTTTCTCCTGCCTTGTTTGCTCACAGATCAGTCAGATGCTCGGAAATGAGTTGAAGTTTGCGGTGCGAGAGCCCATCGGGCTGAGGTGAGATTTCAGCCGCTCTCTGGCAGTTAACGCAGACGACAGTGTAAGGTCGTCTGTGATCACTTCAACATCCAGTAAACTGATAAAAAACACGTCTGCCATTGGTAGTTGTAAGAGGGATATGGTATGTGATGTTATGTCTTTCTGCTTAGGATGTGGATACTCATCTCTGCTGTGGGATTCACACTGATGGCCATAATGGTGAGGCTTTAAATTTACAACAGAGTTTCAAATTCATTTATTTTTAATTGCCTCAATCAATAAAAAATGCAAAAATGTAGGCAGGAAACTGCTCCTTTCAGGAAACGGAGGGCACACTCAGCTGCAGAAAGAAAAGCTTTGCAGAGAGTGGTGAAGGCTGCACAGAAATCTGTTGGAATCAGTCTTCCCACCATCACAGACATCTACACCTCCAGATGCAGGAAGAGGGCCACCTGCATCATGAAGGACCCCACCCACCCAGCACACACACTTTTTGCCCCACTCCCCTCAGGAAGGAGGTTAAGGAGCATTAAGTGTAGAACCACTAGACTGAGGAACAGCTTCTACCCTGAGGCTGTTAGACTCATGAATCTCTAACTAGAATAATCACTGTGAAAAACCATATCATGTTGCTGCTGATCTGTTTCATGTTGCTGCTGATCTGTTTCAATGTTGATGTGTTCATGCGTGCACATCTGCTCACAGACTCATGTTCATGTTTGTGCTGATGTTCAATGTTTTTATGTTATGAGTGCTTAGTGTATATTTAGTTGATGTTTTTCTTAGTTCATATCTTAGATGTTATTACTGTTTTTCTTATACATTTTATTGTTGGATGTAACTGGGACCCTGTGTACATAATTTCGCTCCACCACATGTACCACATGAGGTGCGAATGACAATAAAGAAACTCTCTCTGACATTTTGCAAAATCAGATACGCACTTACTGTGGATTCTTCTATAATTCATTTCTGACTGTTATCTGGAGAAACAGCTCTATCTTTGTCAGCTCTAATATCAAATTCTCAATATCCTCAGTGTTGTGAACATCCACAGTGGTGCTAACTCAAACCGGAGGATTTTGGGGAGGACAGAATGCTGTTGTGTTGAAATGACAGAGCTGTGTTGTGCTTTTGTTCCCCCAAACAGGCTCTGGTGTTTCCCAACCAGCTCTATGAGCTTGTTTTTGAGGAGGAGCTCTCCACGACAAGCATCTCTGTACGCCTTTATGGAGCAGCCTTACTCAGTAAGTCTGTCTTAACTTGCAAGAAAGACCCCCAAATAAGGCATCCAAAAAGGTTATCATGCTTCCATCATGCTCCTGACAACACACTGAATGCTTTCACTTTGCAGCAATCGTGATGGCTCACAATGTTTTTACATTCATTTATATATGGGCTAAAAATACACAATGCTCGACTGCATGTGGTCTGCAATAATGGCTTCAGATGCATTCATTAGATGTCACACATGCTCTCATTCAGACGCAACATAAAGAGCCCTCTTTCTGCTTCAACATCAGTCCTGTAGGCTACAAACAGAGGCTGTTTAATCTGATACAGTTCTGAGGATCTGCAGTCCACTGTGAAGGCATGCTGAAGGCACAGAGAGCAATTCTTTGGAATACTAACAGCCAACGCTCCAGTCGCTTCTTGTTCCTGCGGTCCTCGTGTGTCAGGTTTAAATCTGGTGGACGCTCAGTGGGGGATGGCAGGACAGTGTGTGGATGGTGTGTGTATGTGTGAGATGGCCTGAAATCCCGAGAAGAGGAAATTTTCTTTGCTCCGTTTCAATTTTGCAGCTCACTCACACTCCGAGCTCAACAAAATGAGCTCAATCTTTTCATCCCATGTCCATTCCACAGATGATAGAAAATGATGATAAATATGAAAGAGAATTATAGCATTTGTTATGCTCCCCTTTTTCAGAGTCTGTATATTTGAGAGAGCGGCAATCATTTTAATGGCCTTAATTTTAGATAAAACTGCAAGATTACATGACTCGTTATGATAAAGACACAGGTTGCACCAGGGGGTGCTGGGAAAAGGAGTAAGTGATCAAACGCTTAGCATATACTAAATAAAGGTTGAACGAATATATGCAGTAAATTTGGTGATGTCAATTCTTCTAAACCAGACGATACAGAACAAGTGAAGGAAAAACCACCCCCTCGTGCTGTTCTCTAACATATGTATGTCTTGCTTAATAAGTAATGTAAAAGAAGAGCATGTAAATACAGCATTACAGGTGGAAACACAATGAAGCAGCTTTAAGCTTCATAAGGCCAATGAAGCCCTGGCTTCATTATTATAAATGTCAGCAGAGCTTCAGGGATTAGCAAAGATAGAGGGCGATGCTTTACAAGACGAGCTGCAGTAGTGGGGGTGAAGGATGGAGTCTCATCTGCCACACAGATGGATCCTGGCAGGGAAAGGATGCAGTCCATCAGCCCTCCCACCTCACTGCCCACCCCTTCTTACTCCCAAATCCTCACTGGTCTGTCGCTGGGAGAGACGCACATGAAGACGAGCACAGAATGAAATTATAAAGCACAAGCTTTCAATAAATATCAATGAATGTTTGGCTGACGTAACGAGCAGTCACCAGGCTCTGTATGTGCTGTTGCAGCTTCTTCTTATCGCTGCAAATGGAAATGCTGTTCTAGATATTAGTGTTCTTCCCCGAGCTTCATCTTTTCTCTGTTTATATTCCTTTGCCCCTGAACTTTTACCTTATAAATTTCCTTTTATGATCTCCTTTTCCAGGCCTGGCACTCATTATGTGGAATGGTCTCTACACAGCAGAAAAGGTCATCATCCAGTGGACTCTGCTCACTGAAGCCTGCTTCTTTGCTGTCCAGTTCCTAGGTAATTAAGGAGCCTTGCTATTTAATTTATGACTTTATGTGCCTTTGACCTCATGTCACAGTGAGTGTAATCACTTCAGAATCCCTTTGATTTTAATCTTACTTTGATAATGAGAGTTACAACAAACTATACATTTACCAGTTGCACATGTGCACATAGTGCCCTCTTGTGTTCAGTTCTTGAAATCACAGTTTTGCATTATTTTTAAAGTCGTACTGTTGAACTTTATTAGACAAGGAGTCAGAGTTAAGAATTCAGTTTGAGTCAAAGGTCGAACTCGGGCAGTATTTATTGTAAAGACTATAAATATAATGTTTGTCAGATACTTTGTCATATTATCTCCAAGAGAAAATATAAACTGAACTTTTTACTGAACTTCTCAAATCCCATCATTAGCAGTCATTTCTTTTATGTTACCTTCTGCTTTTTTCAATTTGTAGTGAAAACATTTTGTCACGGAGCATTAAAATCTAAAAATCTACAGCTAATAGCAACCCTAAACCAAAAAATACAGAATGTTTCAACCTGACTGTCTGGTGTGTTTGATGCACGTAGTGTAATGTTGTTCAGAAATCTGACGTCTCTATTGACTGAAAGTGAATCTGCAAACATTCGATCAGCCTCATTTGCTTCTTTCAGCTTCAGGCAGATTAATGAGAAGTTCAAAGTAGGAAAATCATTGTGGAAATGGTAAAATACTTGTACTCTGTTTTTCCATTAAATGTGCACATAGACACACACTGGAACCGCTACAATAATGACAGACCCGTCTTTGTAATGGAGACATCATGGACTCAGGTTTCTGCTGCATTCATAAAAGTTGTAAATTCATCAAGAAAGATTAATGAGCATAAAAATATCTTAATAAGCCCCATAAACTGGCTTTTTAACTAAAGCCCAGTAAACATAACTTTTACTCCTATATTTTTGTCTTTATATTAAAAGTTGTTGCTTTAATAAGCAAATTACTTTTTATTAATTAGGGCTGTATAATATATTAATCTGGACACTTACCCTAAATGCTCCCTGCTGCTTTAGATGAAAGGAAGAGATGAGTAAATGTTAGTTTATCACAACTGATTTTATTATGGCAAAATTCAACATAAGACCCCATGGACATGCTTTCCCAGTATTATGCAGCTCAATATTTTACTTACAAACTACTTGAATATTGGATCGTTCTCAAATCAAGAGGTTTTCTCTCGAAGTTTGTCATAAATGACAAACATCCCCTCACTGTCTCTGCAGCAGATCAGTATGAATACACCATGGAAACACTAGAACAACCATCCATCCATTATCTTTACCAGCTGCTTCCTTTTCAGGTTGTGGGGGTCAGTGGTGCTCATGTCCAGCAGTCACTGTACGAGAGGCGAGGGACACCCTGGACAGGTCTCCAGTCTATTACAGAGACACATAAAGACAAACAACCATTCACTCTCTTACTCACACTAGAGACAATTTAGTTACCAATCAGCCTAACATGCATGTTTTTGGTCTGTGGGAGGAAACTGGAGTACCTGGAGAAAACCCACGCATGCACGGAGTGAACATGAAAAATCCACACATAAAGACCTCCGGACTGGGATTTGAACCTGGGCAGCCTGCTCGCTGAGAGGCAACAGCGCTACTACGCCATCGTGCTACCCTCTAGTTTAGTGCCCTACACTAGAACATGTTTTGTGTAATAATTTTTTATCAGTTTTTCATGATGCACATTTAGTTTGTGAGGTAGCTTGTTATTAAAGACTATATTAAAATGTGTTTAGTGTTGAAACATGGTGGTGTAGTAGTTGGAGCTGTTGCCTCAGTGAGAAGTTTAGCAGCCTTTCTGGGTGGAGTTTGTGTGTTCTCCCTGGGCATGTGTGAGTTTTCCTCCCACATACTAAAAACCTAGGTTAACTGGCAGCTCTAAATTGTCCTTGGGTGTGAGGGGGTTTGTATTGTTTGTCTCTGTGTGGCCCTGTGATCAGGCCGGTTGCAATAAACAATAAATCTAATAATAATTCTAACAATAAAATTAATAAATGAATAAAAATTATCAACCTCGTTTTCATTTATTGGCTTTGAGTTTCTTTGTGTCTCTCTCTTTCTACTGAAGACACTGGATGACAAAAAGCTCAACTCAGGTGCTCTTCACTGACCCCTCCCTTTCTCCTTTCTCTTTAAAATCTGTTGTAACCATCCAAAATCGTGTTTTTGGATCATTAAAAGCAGCTAAGCTGAGAAGCTAAACTATGAGCTAAGCTAACAGGCCGACCTTGGGGAATAAACCTCCGTCTTGTCAAAGCTCCATAATTCACGGTTGAAACCCGTGACTTCCTATAAAAAGTTGTTTTTCTCTGCAAAAACAAGCTGAGAACTTGTTTACTGATCCATCCATCCATTATCTTTACCCGCTTCTTCTATTTTGGGTCACGGGGGTCACCGGTGCCCACGTCCGGCAATCACTGTGCGAGGGGCGGGGGACACCCTGGACAGGTCTCCAGTCCATCACAGGGACACATAGAGACAAATGAGACAAACAACCATTCACTCTTTCATTCACACCTAGAGACAATTTAGAGTTACCAATCAGTCTAACATGCATGTTTTTGGTCTGTGGGAGGAAACTGGAGTGCCCGGAGAAAACCCACGCATGCACTGAGAGAACATGCAAACTCCACCCAGAAAGGCCCCCGGACCGGGATTTGAACCAGGAACCTGCTTGCTGAGAGGCAACAGCTCTACCAGTTGCGCCACCATGCTGCCCTTGTTTACTGATTTTTTTAAATTAAAAACTTTGTGTGAAAAATGCTAAAGAGCTCATACAGCAGAGCGTTCATCATGTCACCATGTCAGCCCATGTCACGTCAAGGGGCCTCCCTCCCATTTCTCTTAGACACGCTGCTCAACTATCCATCATTTGGTTCAGACTGTCTCAGACTGTCTTATACTGCCATCAGGTGGTCAAAAAAGGTACTACACTCCAAACAAATAAACTTTTCTTCTAAAATTTGACAATTAATTTTTGTTAAATTTCAATCAATATTATCGTTTATCGCACTAATTTCTTGGACAATTAATCGCCCTCAGACAGGCCTACCTGTGATGGACCCCATGCACCCCACCTCTCACACAACAACTGCTGGAGATGAGCACTACCGCTCTGTGACCTAGAAAGAAGAAGCTAGTAAAAACAGATAGGTGGATGACGAGATGGTGTTCAAACACTGCTCTGTTATTTCAGTGACATCCATCACCTTAGTGGAGATCGGCATCCTGCCCAACGCCGCCATGCTCCTGCTCCTCAGTCGGGTGCTGTTCTGTGTCGTCTCCATGGCTTACTACTACCACCTGGGCCGCAAGCCAAAGAAGATCTGAGCTGACCAGCTGACACTTCAGGGAGAGGACGTTTGAGCACAGATCACAAACATGGGGGTCAGAAGGTTTGGGTTTTAATTTGAATGGGGCTCGGGGCATTGCTTTGATAGGAAATGCCTCCTGCCCCCCCTTCCATGGGACCTCAGCTAACATAACCCCCCAGTATTTAACAGATGAGCACAGTGTTGCGTTGCTGACTCTACCAGAACAGGAAACCTCATAATGACTCTTAAATGGGCCAGGAGATGGAGCCCTGCTTGACACACATTCCTTCTTTATGTAGTTCTGAATGTTGGTCCCACAAAGCAGAACTTAGCAGTACGTAGTGTTTGTGTGTGTTGCAAGACAACAACTATATTACTCAAGCACAACTTGAGTTTCAGAATTAGTATGTAGTGTTTTCCTCCGATATAAATCCAGCCAGTTTCAAGACTTTTTATTTCTTTTTTCATTTTTATTTTTTTACCATGGCTGCGATCTGGAGGCCTCTGACAGCTTTACACCGATGGAAAAACTATTAACGGTCCGTGTGGATCTGATCAGATAAAAGCTGGATGACTGACAGTGAACCTTTCCCCTCAAAGGCTTTCTTGGTATGCACAAGGAAAAAAACGTTTTTCCAGTCGTAACTTTTATACAGCCCCAAAATTTGTAACTTGTAGTTCAGAGTTTCATCGACACGCCTTGAATAAAATACTGTTAGTGCACCCGTGAGGTGACATTTACAACACCGTGTTTAGTTGTGTCTGCTGCCTGTGCACTGAAGTTAGTCGAGCATGTCTTTGTGCAGGACAAACGCACGTTAACTGTTTGTTGACTTCGAGTGATGTAGCACAGAAGGTTTTGGTTTTTATTCTAGCCATGCACCAAATTCTTAGTCTTGCCTTAAAACAACTCAATAATTAGTCATCAACACTGCGTTCTACTCTATGTATATATGTAAATACAAATATTTAATATTACATGGTGTTCTTATGAACCAAACAGGGAACTTGTTCAGTATTAGTTGATGATTATAAAAGGTTGATCCTTCTGTTTATTGTATCTTTTTTGTACCTATTTAAATGACTGTGTTTTGACATCATGTGTGTGGTATGTTTTTGTCACCAAACAAAAAAATGGCTCAAAATTGGCAGCGATCCGTGACCAACTGGAGACCACAAATGAATGCAGCGACCAAAAAGGAATTTCTACAACAATGATTGCGTTTTAGTTTTAGAGCTGTCAGCTGTGATCGTTGTAACTCAGAGTACCTGTTTCCAATCATTTTGTGCAACTGAAGCATTCATCTGGTCCAAACAAGGGACGTGCTGCATGTCTTCAAAGGTGGTCCATCTCGTTGGACATGACCACACAGAGTCCTGCTCCAGATGGGAGTGGTCCTGTGGTCAGAGGACTGGAGGGAAATGGGCATGTTCCTTGGGCAGCTCTTCAGCTCAGATAGTTTGAAACATGGGTGAGGTCTCCTGTACCCCTAAAAAGTAGTAATTATCTTTTTTTTACAGTGTTTAATTAGATGCACGTCTCCACAGTAACATTGTGTCCCAGCCTACGTTTGCTGCTCTGTGCTGACTTGCATTATAATTATGGAGTTAGAAGAAGAAACTCTGCAAGGCCTCAAATAATCCACCTCCTGAAAGGTTTAAAGGCCTGTGAGGCGGGTTTTTATTTTTTGGGGGGAGCGAGAGCCACTTTTGACAGGGATCTCAGAGGAAAGGAGGCAACGAGGCTCTTTCCTCATCCTGACAGATGTAAATTCAACACAATGTTACACTAGTATCGTCTTTTTGAAATTTGAAAGTAGGTCAAAAAATGTTTCGCTAGGTTCTGCATCCCCTCGTTTAGCCGTTCTGATTGGAATATCTTGTCCAGCTGTTTCAAGTTGTAGCAATGTGTTTGTTTTTCTGTATATATGTGGTATATTCATAGAAAAACAAACAATGGATTTCCATTTATTGGTTTGAAATAAAAACTATTTGAAGACTTGAACATTGATGCAGACTTTTTTTCTTCCTGTCCTTCCTGATTAATAAATGAAGCTCTGTGTCTGAGGTAAACTGATTTATCTGTTCAGCTGACAAGGTCTCTGTGATTTTGCTTTAACATCCTGAGACCCTGCGTCCTCATATGAAAACATTGATTGTTTTTTGATTTATAGAACTGCTTAACATACAGTAGAAAGCTGAAATTTTGTTTATGGAGTAACTGGGATCTTCTGACCCAATTTGCAAATAAAAATGTAAAAGTAAGCCTATACTGTCCTCATCTATCAGTACTTCTCTGTAAAAGAAAACATGTTTATGCTTAAATGAATGCCTGCTGAAATTTACTGTAGAGAAGCAAAACGGCTAAAGGACAAAAGCAGCAGATTGCTAGCCAAACATAGAATACAAGCTAAAAGTAGCTAAAATAGCTAAAAGCTAAATGCAACAAATGTCTAAATAAAAGCTACAAATAGTAAAACACCAGCTAAAAACACCAAAATCATAGCTAAAAGTAGCAAAAGGCTAGGTAAGTTATCAGCAAGCTAGCTAGAAGCTAAAGGCATTAAAAGGATGACAAAAAGTAAAAATGGCAAAATGCTAGCTAAAGTATCAAAATGCTAACTTGAAGCTACTGAAGCAGCTGAAGTTAAAAAAAAAAGTAGAAAAAAGAAGGCAGGTTACAAAGAATATGTTTAAGAGTTAGTTTTATTTAGTAAAAATATTTATAAATTAAAAAGGGGGTTATAATCTCAATCATCCAGGTACAAAGTGGATAACAACAAGAAGTTAAATCATGTCATCTGGACCAGTGACAAATGTTACGTCCCCCATCCCCATCCCATTAAAGAAACTGGTCCAGATGATGTGATTTAACCTTTTTTATCTCCTGGATGAATGAGCTCACAACCCTTTTTCTGAACCACTTTGGCCTTGGTGTCCTCAGGCTGTTTCTGTGAGTAGCAAGTTGGACACCTGGCCTAAAACATTAGACTGTTGTACCTGGTGTTCGGTTGTTTTTGATGAACGTGCTCTGTTTGCACGTGTTAAGTCTACTTTTGAAATTCCACCAGGAGTTTGGCTTGAAACAGCAATGAAGGCTGCTTATGGGACAGATCTGGTTGGCAGGCCTCAGACTGAGGAAGTCCTCTGGATGGGGGATGAAACAGTAGAAACTGGTCCAGATGACACGATTTAACCTTTTTTTTTTTTTATTTGTAGGTAAAGTTAAATACTTTGAAAAATATCAGTCAAAACAAAAGTCCCAGCACTCTTCTCCTGAATGAGCTTTGATTTGTGCTAAATCAGCATCCACACAGTGATTTTACCTGTTTGACAGTGGAGAGTCCTCAGGTAGTTTCTGATGGATTTGTTCAAACCAGTCTCAACAAATACTGGCGAGCTGTTGTGTAACCCCACTGTTTGTCACTGGTTTCTTTTTTTAAGCTGAGGTTCATGTCATGACATGATTATTTTCAAAGTCTCCATGCAGCTCTTCAGCAGGAGGAGGCATGAAGTCTCTAAAATGTCATGCTAGATGCTGCGAGGACTGTGGACTTCAGAAAACCCAGGGGACCAGAACCAGCAGAGGACATGGGCCCAAACCATCACTGACTGACAAAACTCACTCTGGACTTCAACTATGTGGAGTCTGGACCGTGCACTCTTCCTCCAGACTCTGGGATCTCGATTTACAAATGATGTGCAGAATTAAACCAGAAGAGAGGACATTGGACCACTGAATCCAGTTCTTTGTCTCCTCAGCAGGTAAGACGCTTCTGACGTTGTTTGGTTCAGGTGTGGCTTGTCCTGATCAGATACCCAAACATGCAGAAAAATGGCTACAACTTTAAATTTTTCTGATAACATTTGATGAGGTAGTAGCTGAGAGTCATCCTCAACACGTTCTCTAAGCAACATGGCATGCCTAATGTCATTTATGAGGGTTCACTAATCCATCCATCCATTATGGTTACCCGCTTGGTGCCCATATCCAGCAGTCACTGTGTGAGAGGCAGGGGACACCCTGGACAGGTCTCCAGTCCAACACAGGGACACACAGACAACCATTCACTCTCTCACACGTAGGGACAATTTTTAGAGTGCAGCCCAACATTTATTTTAAATATCTGGCATCAGCGGGCGATATGCATTTCTTCAAGAAATGCCAACCTTTGGCTGCTTTGTCTTGACCTTTGTTTTAATTTAAAGTGAAAACGTGGGAGTAGCAATGGAGTAACATGAAATCGGCCGCATTAAATGTGTTTGCAGGACAGGAGCAGAGTAAATGATGTGTGCTGCCGCATGGTGGGGATGTAAACACGCGCACACGCGCGCACACATCACGTAAAAAGAGGCACGGTCAGACGCTGGAGTTTCTTTCTCACAGGAGTCTGGACCTTTCACAGAAGAGCCGCAGGTCGCCCCAGAACCGGTGAGCAGTTCAAGAGACCAACTCAAAGTAAGTATTTGTTACGTTTCTCTAACCAAACACTTGAACCCCGACTGAGTCTAAAGAAGTTGGTCAAGAAGTCTGCCGCTAAGTTAGTGGAAGTCTGCCGCCTCTTTTAGATCTGTGCTAAAACAAAGTGAGTTTTTAGTTTAGGTGTTTAATTAACGTAAGCACTGTCTGAATTAGAGCGCAATCTTTGTCCGAGGTTACGTAAAGTAGCATCAGTGATCGCCTTTGATAGAAGAAGTTCAGGTTTGCCGGATGGAATGAATAAAACGTCGTGGATGGTCTAACTTTCGTCCAGTTGCCTGAACTGGTTATTGTTTACTCTGCTGAGTTTCTCAACGTGAGCCAAACCCTAAACTCCTCATCGTTTTAATCATTTTCTCACGCGCTCTCACCGTTATCACCCGTGACACCTTTAACCCGGACAGTTAGCCCGGGTTATCTTCTGAGTGAGTAAACAAAGATATTCGAGTAATACGCTTAAAGAACCAGTTTGGTTGAACACATTAATTATTGTCCTGAGTTTACCCTGAAGGTTACTGTAGTGAGATGTGCCACTGGGATCTGTGGGGTATGGCAAGCCAGTTAATCACATAATATTTATTTGGGGGGTCTCCAAAGAAAATGGCAGCACATTAAGATATTTCTTGTTTATTCACACCCATTTAGGTTCTTTAGAACACTCCATCTGTTTGTTCATAGAAGTCACAATCTGAGAGGTTCTTTATCTAAACAGATGTTTTCATTAAAACTATGTTAACAAAGCTAAGCACACTTTTGTGCGCCAGAGTTTCAAACAAAGAATTTGTGATGTCGTATCGCTCAGCTTATATATGTTGGATGACCCTCAGCTACTGCCACAGACATGTTTAATTACATATCTTTAAAACTGTTTATCAATTGTGAATGTTTGCTCTTTGATTACTGTCTGAGTTTTTGATCAAATCTGTCTAGTAGTTCATATAAGATATTTTGCTAACAGACAAATGAACATATATATATATATATATATATATATATATATATATATGT